TGTTTTTTTTTCCTTTAGTTACTCAGATAACTAGATGTCTTCTAGATTGCTATAAAGCAGTGATCAGAGCATCGTAGAGTCACTGCATCTTGTGGATAATGTACGGTTATAGCTTCTGAGCTGCTTTGGGATGTCCATCCTAACTCCAACCTCTATGCAAATTCAATTCAATTCAATTCAATGTTATTTATACAGAGCCAGATCATTATAAAAGTCACCTCAAGGTGCTTTAATACAGAGAAGTAATCAATAATAGAGAGAAAACCCCAATCAGACAACCCCCTGCCTTTTAAACAGGAAGCAGCTGTGGCATTAAAACAGTATCAAAGTCCGAACTCACATCATAATAAAACTATAAGACTGTACTATGCCCATTTGCCCTATGCCCACTCTCACATGAATTTCTTCACAATGTGATGATTTTTGTTGAATCAAAATCGAATCGCTTTGCGCAGCACAATGGGAGTTCGTGATTCTGTTTGCTTTGCGGCTTACTATTTGGCAAATCTTGCTTGCCTTGTAGATTTATCAGTTATCTGATACACTGATTTTCAGTTGGGCTGTGCTGAAGCGGCCTTTCATGTTCTGTGCTTGGGCATTAAGTCCAACAAGATCAACTGAACTGTTCCTTAGCTCGCTTTTTCAAGCCCACAACGGTCAAACAAACTGGATTTGGGGGATTAAACATGCTGTGTGAGTACATCCTATAACTAACTCAGCATTGTTCAAAATGTTCAACAATGTTTTGTTCTCCAAAAATACACATACTTCGTGTTAGGCTTCATAAATCGTCCGATTGAAACGTGAACAGCATAAAATTTAAGAGTTTAAGCATAGGAAAAGTAGCAGCATGACCCTAACCACCAACTTAAAACATCCAAAGGTCTGCTGGTCTGCTGCCAGGTAAAGAATATAGAACAGAATAATTAGCAATCTGAAGGTGGTGTTAGGGAAACCACTGTATACCAGTTTGCAATGTATAACTATTTTTGCTCTCATTGCTATGTGCAATGAAACCCTTCTGCTCAACCCTTCTGCATGCCTCTGTGCAACTCCAACTATGCTTCTAACTGAGGCAAACTCTCAGGTATTTCCTTTCCTCAGATGACAACAACATAGTCGATTCAGGTACCTGTAAAGTAGCTTATAAGCCTAAACCGGCGCCAAAATGTGACGCTTTAATTTCTACTCCAAAAGACTGAAAAACATCACTTGTGCCCAGAACAGCGCAAAGATTTTGGGTGTTCCTTTGATAAACATAAGTCTTTATTTGAATCCTTCATCCCTGGAATGTTATTCTGGAGACTAAATGAGAGAGTAGCATCACACTGAGGAATCACATTGAGTCAAAGCAGAATGGGTGTAGTTCAGCGAGGTCAGAGCATGCATAATGACATGACTGTTGCTTCTTGCACAGCACTCGCATATACATTCCCCGAAATAGAGCAAATATTGACATCTCTGATTTCTCCTCTGACATGAGTCACTTTTTCACCTCTGCACAGTTTAAATACAGTGATCTTTAAACAAGGGATTAACAACTCTGTGTGTGTGTGTGTGT